TCTGGAAAGTCTAGCCAGGAAAAAAAATAATTTAAGGACTGAGGGAAACTTTGCAATAATCAGCTGGATCCCACACATGTAATTATGCCCGGTACCCTACAAATTGTTAAACGAGCCAGAAAGGAATCAAAAATACGGATGCAGCAGGGAGCTGAAGAGGAGTTTGATATGCATCCTGGCTAGCCTTGCATAGCCCAAGAGAAAAGTTGTGTTACTTTACGGGCAAAGGACCTTCACTGTTACCAGCCAGTGAACTAAAATACCTGCCTGCAGGACAGGCCTGCACTCCACACCTTCCATTCCTCCTGCCTGCAGATTTTGGGTGGCTGCTGAGCTTTCCCCCCTGGTTTCTTCAGCACAGGGGTACACCTTCCCAACTGCAACGGGGGGAACGCGTTGCCCACTACCCGCCTGCCATGGCAAGGGCCAGAGCACTGCCCTCCTCCCTGGGGCTGAGCCACAGCTGGTGTCACAGGGATAAGGGGGAGCAGGGAGGGTCCCATGGAGCCATGATGGCCCCGTTTCCTTCAGCCAAGCTGAGAGGTGCAAGCAAGACGAGAAGGGTGGCAGCGGGTACTTCACCAGGCATGGTCTTCATTTTTTCCACCACTCCTCTAGGGGGAAGAAACAAAAGCAACCATGAAACCCAAATGCTTTGACTGTAACAAACCATAAAACACGGGATCAGCTCTCTGCCTCTCGTTTGCCTTGCTGGTTCAGTGACTTGGCTGCGCCTTGCTGGAACTGCCTGTGTTACGGTCATCACACGACAAAGCCAGCCATTAGAAATGATTAATTGATTAGTACGTTAAATAGGTGTTTCTGTTCAATTATTGGCAGGTTTGTTAATGGATTACTATTTAAACGATTCTGATATTTTAAATTACATGTTATTTTATAGATGCACATTTACTTTAAAAAAGCGCACCCCTTGCATCCATTAACATATTAAAGAGAAAATAAAACATCCAGGCTGATATAATGCACAATGTGGCATTATTCTGGGTGCTTCCTAAGCTAGGGAAATCTTATTTGTTTAATAATAAGTTGGTCATGAATATGCAAATCTGCATCAGTGCAGTACCTCACTGCTGTCACTATTAATGAGTTGCAAATTAATGTGACAACAAAAGGAAAATCTATTTAGTGGCAGATTTGTGGTTTGTACCTGGCTCAAGAGAGCAACCGTCTGCAGTCACGTCAGTCCACTGGAGCAAACGGTGCACATGGTGTGGACAAGGTTTGCTCCGGGGCTGCCAAACCAGAAACAGGCAGCATGCTGTCTTCACCCCCCAAGGGTAGTAGGCAGAGTCGTCCCTAACGATCCATCACACTTAGCTTGCAGGAAAATAAAATCTCTTCACTCTGCAATCACGGTGAGCCCATGCAAAGCACACTAGCGGGAGAAACACAGAGCGAGCAAGACTGATGTAGATGAGAAGATAGTGTGGACATCTAGAAGCGATGCTTAAAGAGAACATTTTCTTCAGATCCGTTTGGGGATTTTTTTTCCCCTGACAATGCTTACAAGCTCACAAAGTGATACTTGTTGAATTCCAGTCACTTTTTTCTCATGTCCCTCCTCCTAGCAGAAATGCAATGGTGAATAAACACATTGAGAAAAGACCTAATATATGTCTTCATGACTGCAGCATTCAACTTTTCTGTCTTGTGTAGTGGTGTCAAGCCCTCTCCTACCAACACCCGACCCATACCAAAATGAAAATAAAATGTTCTGCAAACAATTTTAAACATTTATGACACTACTTTATCGGTTAGCTTGCATCTGCTCAAGTTTAAAATAGCATTGTGTACCTTTTTCCTGTATGAACTGAAGAAATGATGCTGAATGTTTAACAGCAGTCCCGCAGAGCCTGGGAATGGCAGCTGCCTGCACTTACCACTCCCTGACACCTTGTTCATATTAATGCACAAACGACGGGTCTCATCTATAGCATCGTTAGTTAGCGCAGAAATGAAGGGAGGAGTCAGCTTCAAACTCTTTGATTCGTGGAGTGAGCTTGGCCCCTGGGAGCAGTTTCTATTCTGCTCCTGTGATCTTGCAAACTAGACAGGCCCGCATCTGGGCCCTCCCTTTAGCAGATCACTCCCTGAAGAGCACAAACAAGGACCAAACACCTCTGGCCCTTGCTTGCCACCCACTGTATCAGTGTCTTCGGCACAAGTCTCCTGCCAGGCCACCAAAGCAAAAGGAGGAGATGACAGAAAAGCAGAAGAAACAAGAAGAGAGTCCAGAGGAAAAAATAATCCAAATGGGAAACTCCCAGGGCTGACTCCACTATACAGAATTCAGTCCTCTTCAGTAAGGCAAGAAGGTGAAGGAAGAGTTCAATATTTTGCAGTTCTCAGCAGCATCGCTTATCTCAGGGGAAACCTCCCAGCACTGCCCGTGCTGTGGCTTCCCCACCCCTGCCAGCCTGGAGCCAGGGATTTCCTGGGATTTCCCAGTCCAGCAATAAGTAGAAGTTTGACAAAGGAAACTCCCTTCCATGAGGCTCACCTGCCTGCTTTAGCTGGAGATGGGGTTTTTCCCTATTGCACCACTTGTTCTCCAGCAGCTCCAGAGGACAGCAATACCTCCCAGCCAGGTAAATCCAAGTGATAAGCAGGGGAAATTCAAGGAAACACTGTGGCTTGGGCCACAAGAGCATCAACACTGCCCTTTCACCTTGCAGAAGGCAGCACACGGGATCAGCAGGGTTTTACCATCCCCAAAGGCTGCATTTCTGTTTCCTTATTTTTTATTACCCTGGAGCGATGCCAGCAGTGCGAAGCAAAGTCTCTCTGGTCCGAGGAGGACGCGCCAGGCAAAGTGCTTTAAAGGAGAACAGCACTGAGTCCAGAAGCTGAAACGCTGAGCACCAGCCCCCTCCCAGCCGTGCTCTGTTGTGCCGGTCGGAGCTCTGTGCCATGCAGGATGCAGCTGGTCCCGGTGCTGGAGAAGGGGCCAGCATTTCAACTTCCCCACCTACATTCACTGTCACCACGTTCGCTCCCTGCCAGTGCACTGCCATATCTCAGGTAACTATTCCCTGGGCTTGTCTGCTGCAAAACCACGAGTGTGGCCAGCCTCTCCCATGACAGTCTCTCCCAAAGCACCTGGAATAGGGTGAGCTAAGCCGACCTTATGCACACAGGAGCATGGGACGCTGCCCTCCTCCTTCGCCAAACCCTCCGTGCTCTCTCAAGCACCCCCGCAGAGCTAAGTCTCTTTGGAAAAAAGTACATCCTAGAAGATAAAACGGTTATGTCAAGGCACAGCACTGTGATCAGGTGTTCCCCTCCACGGCCCTATTTTTAGAGCGCAGACAGGCCCCGGGGCAGGCACACACTTGCATTACAACAGCATGAGGCTGTTACTGTATTTGAGCCAGGATGCAAGCGCCAGCATGGAGAAGTCCTTACTATGCTCTGTGGAGATAGTGGAAAGCTGACGAAGCGAAGACGTTTGGGGATCCTGTGCTCGGGATCATTTGAGGAGGAGCTGGCCAAAAGAGGAAACCAACGTCAATCTTCTATTTGCCTGCAGGGCACGGAGAGAAGTGAGGTGTCTGCCATGCACCCCTGGAAGTGCTACAAAGCTGATTTATGCTCAGCTCAAGCCATCCACGCATTACGCAGCTGATAAGATAAACATGTCTGTGACAATTGCCTTTAACATTCTCCCTTGCCTTAGTTTTCCTGGCCTACCTCTGCTTCCTGGGAAAATCAGGGAGTAAAAGCAGCAGGCACTGGTAAGTAGGGATGGCTGTGTTTCAGCTCGTTCCAAAGGAGCTGGCTTAAAAGGAAATCCAGGAGGGTGTGTAAGCTGTACGAGAGACCGTCATTATCCTTACCTAAAGTCTCCAGAAAGATGTCAGTGGTTGTATCAGAACTAAAAATTCCCTGTCCTGTACAGAAATGCAACTTCAGCCGCCAGCAGCAGACAGCTGTTGGACCTCTCGCTTGCTTCCTGGCTCAGCTTACACAAAACCACAAATCTACAAAACCACCTTACCCCCAGAAGCAGTCCCACCGTAAGCCACACAGTGCAAACGTTGGGCAAAAGACTCGATGGCAACACATCACGAGAGGCATCAGCTCTGCGTCTTTCCCACTGGAGCACCTTCAGGAATGAGGGGTCATTCTCCCTTACCTTCAGAAGGAAGGCAATTCACACCCTTTCTTAAGCTCCCCCAAGAGCAAAAATTTAACCTGCAGTGCACTGCTCATTATTCAAAACCTCAGAGCCTCACTGCTCCAGACGGAGAAACTTTTTCCCGGATGGTTTTCGCACATGCTCCGCTCGAGACCCTTTTGGTGGGTGTCCTGGCCATCAGGAGAGCAGTGCAATTTAAACATTTCAGCTGAAGTTCTTGGCTGTTGTGACACATGCTACTGTTAAAACCAGCACCAAAGCAAAACTCAGGAGTCTGGGTTCACAGCAAGGACTTCTTTCTACAAGGGGAAGGGCAGACGCAGACCCGTTAAGTGGGCCTGCCCAGGCTCCAGGGAGCCCAACCTCTTAAATGCAAGTTCCTGAGCTGTGTAGAAGTGACATTTGGGTCACTGTCCCTTTTAGACTCCCCTAAAAGGTGCTCATAGATTTAATGCCTCGCATTGAAACAAGAGTATTTTCCTCCCACCTGCAGACACCACTGAAAAAGAGAATTTGTGCAGTTCAACTCAAAACTATGACAAAGGAGTGAAAATAACTGAACCAACTCACAATTCTTTTAATTAAAAAGTGATGCAGGAAGTATTGTGAATACCATTCTGAAACCTCTGTCCCACAAAAGGCGCCTGCCCGATGTTTTCTTGTAACGCTGAATTTAGAAAGACGATGCAGGTTCTGCCTCAGATTTCATCAGCTGTTCGTTGGCACCGATGCCAGACCTGCTCCGCTTTGGGAACTGCACGCAGAGCCTCCTTTCATAAACATTAATGAGTCGGAGCTCATTTCACAACCAGGCATGGAATTAACAGGACTCACTTTAGCCTCTTCATCTCTCAACAGTTTTATTGCCTTTAAGAAAATTTTTGTAAAATATAAATACAAAGGCAGGAGATTTACTTACAAAGTTAAAACACAGATCTCAAACATAAACACACAATTCAGAAAATTTAGTTTATGTACAGTTTCAAGCAACTTCAACATATGTTAGTTTTTCAATATTTTACAAGGTACAGAAAAAATAGTTCAAAGTCTTCTTTAAATAAAGAGCATAAAATGTTTAAACATATATAAACAATCCGGTTTGATGTGTGAAAACTAAATTTCACAGCTTTTAAATTAGGATATAAAAGTTCTTACAATTAGTTGATGTGTATGGATATGGTTTAATTTATATTACAAACTATTGAATTATATTCAATAGTGCTTACCTGGCCAAAGCAGGTAAATCTGTAAACAAAAAAACGAAAATAATATCACCAAGTGCCTTACTGAATTCTATCTCCCAAACAAGCCACATGACTTTGATCACATCACCTAGAAAAAGTATGTTCCGTGTAATCAGTGCTTTGTACGAAACAAAGTCAATGTGTGGGTGTGTTCTTTAAAAAAAAACATGTGTTCCGAGTAATAACAAACTTATCCCAAAGCCTGTGTGCATTTAAAGAAACATTATATAACAATTTTGTAAAAACTGATTGAAGTTAAAAAAAAATTCTTCCAAAATCCATCCAACTGGAATTCAGATCTCTTATATAAAGGAAAGATATTTTCATATTTAATAGTGTCCTTTCTTTACAGAAACAATTGCATTTGAACACATATACATAAAGAAGTAACTGTATAGAGCACTGTACATTAAATGGCCTGATGGTTCACCAGATGTCGAAGGGAGGGTCCTCGTGCGGATGCAACCAGTGAAGCGAGGAGCCGAGCAAAGTCTTGAGTTCGCTCGTGAACTCTACCAAGTCCAACAGCTCTTTGCTCTCCGGGTTAAAAGCTTCGAGGTCTGTAGCGCAAGAGAACAACTGGCTGAGGGAAGTCTGTTTGTAAAACTCTGCCTCCGTGATGGTGACAACTTCCAGATTGGGGAAGTTGCAGCGGAAGATGCGAGAGGACATTTTTAGCCTCTTCACCACGTCCGAGAGCAAAAGCCAGTTTCGAGGTCTGGGGAAGCGAAGGAGAAAGAAGCTCCAATAAGCAACATTACCGCACGGGCTTCTCGGCCCTCCGTCGCACCGCTGGGTGACAAACCCTCCCCAACTGTACCCGCATGAACGACTCTGCATCCCGAAATCAAGGCCATTGCCCTGGGGATGCACCAGAGCGTATATGAAGGCGTGTATGTGTTCGCTCACAGTACCGCTGCCCACAGCTTTGGGGAAGGAGGGGGACCAGGCAGGCACGCAGGGCCCCCAGAGCCTACAGACCCAGGGCTTGTGAGCCACCGTGGCGGCTGCTCACGTGGTTAAAGGTTTGCCTGGCTGAGCCTAGCTCCCATTCAGCGAGTCAGGAGATGGCCTAGAGCTGTCATTGGAAATTTCAGCACCTCTGGCTTCTGGAGACACCAATATTAAATATGAGTCAACAGTGGGGGGTTTTCTCAGATTAAGAATACAATTTTAATTCCATCTTCTGTCCGCTTCAGAGAACTTAAGTTATATCCATTGCCCAAATAATAAAAACAAGCAAAAATCCATGCTCCTGCGTGATTAATATTTAAAACTATTTTTCCTATGGCTGTCATCAAAACTGGTGTGAATGACAAACGGTAGCTGTTTATGAAGCCAATTTATATCTTGAATATAACAGATGATAACATTTTACAGGTCTTTCTTTATTATTAAGTATCATACTATCTTCTGCAAGATACTATGTCTGATACCATTCAGGGCTTTAGACCAGTTTTGCTGCAAAGTCTAGAACAACAGTAACTACCGTTTCATCATCCACAAAAGCATCTCCACTCAGTAAAACAGAAAAGCCCATTAAATAAAATTAAGAACACCTTACAAACACGATACCCAAATTTAAGCACCAGAAGCACTTGTATTTTGGGGTGTTATATCAAGATGCCTGCCTGGGATGAGGGAAGGAATCTGGGTTCCAACATCATCCATTCAGCTCAGGAGTGTGGCTCTCAAAAAACACAGCCTGACAAGTCAGCCTTTCCCCCTCTCACTTCCCATTATTTCTAAAAAGCCCAGCAGTTACGGTATCGCTCTCTCATTTACGTTAGATAAATGCAAATGCATTTCCCCACAGATACAAAGTGCTGCCACCCCAAGCAGATCGTCTCAGCTATTTTTACCCCAAACCCAGCATTTGTTCTTACCCCTGAGAGAGACACACTTGGATGTTGTAACACGGCAAGGGAGGCTCGTCCGAAAATTCAAATTCAAACACGTCGCTAAAGCCATCTTCATCTTCATCACCTGGCCCAGGAGGATTCGCCAAGATGTCAAATCCAGATTCATCTTTTGGATCTAAATAAAATTGAATAAAGGTGCCAAGTCAGCATTGAGGAGACTGTTGCAGGTCTTGCTTTTTCTTCCAATAACGTGATCTGTAAATAAAATCAGTTTGCTTCCTTCCTAGCTTCCTCTACCATAAAAACAGAACAGCCACCACCCCCACGTGCCGCATGTTTTGAAAGTCTCCGCATACAAAGAAATAAAGGGTAACATTTGCTCACCGCACACAGAGCTGCCATAGAAATCCCAGTACAAACCAGGGTCATCAACACTTCGACCTTGCAGGTCAGTTAAATACTCTGGAGAGGAAAAAACAACAACAAAAACATACTGATGAGAACAAAAAGCTGGCAAGTGTAGCATGCCGTGTGTCATACAACCTCACTATGCATCCTCCATATCTTCTGTCAAAAAAAACCACCCCACACTGTGTTACTGAAGCACACGCTAGAAACATAGACACCATTCCCGCAAAAGTTCCTGGAATTCACTTTTCTCCTGCTTCCTTTCTCCTACCACATCGAATAATCGCCCAAGGCCTCACAAGGACAGACTCAACCTTAAGCTTCAGAAAGCGAGAGCGGCGTTTTATTCTTGTGAAAGATAGGACGTGCCACACTTTTCAGCCTGAGTGGGTAATCCAGACACCAGGCTGGGGGTGAAATAGTGGCCCCAAAGAGACTGATGGGAAAGGTTTTTCCACACAGATACATTCAGAAAATGTAATTCCTTCCTACAGACATCATCTGGGAGATTTGCTACTTGAGTCGATGGAAAGATACTGCCATCCAAGATGCTAAGAAGTCCGAGACACGACTTTTGTGGAGTCCTGATACAGCTATGCATTTTCTACACTGTATCGTTTAACCAGGTAAGTGGATGAGTACTTAAACTCATCAACAGTGAACATTATAAACATTTTCAGAGGTAAATTATTAGGGAACACAAGTGGTTTTTAACCAAAACTAACAGCCAAATAGACTAAAACCATGCTAAGACATCAACATGTTTAAAGATGAGAACCTTGATTATAGTTTCACAGCACTTCAGGCATAAAATGAGGCAGAACTTGCAAAAAGACAAGTGCGCGAAGGATAAAAAGCAAGACCACAGGAAAATATGATGTTTAACAAACACTGATTTGGCAAGTTTTTTACTTTCATTTCAAGTGGAAAACCAAAGGCAGCAAAACCGCTGACCTTCTACCTACCCATCAGACATGACAGTGACATAATCTTTATTACTTATTAAAATGAGTTTCAATTAGAAGCAGTCCCCATGCACAGCTGCACTTCCCACCTGCACCCCCCAGGTTTTTGCAGGCAGGGAGGGAGCTACTGCAAACTACAACACTCCTTGGCATGGGGCCCCCTCCGACAGAGAGCTGGGAATTTGGGGGTGCCAGGGAACGCGTCCATCCTCCCCGCTCCCCCTTTGCCATGACCAGCAAAGCACCCCCAGGCACCTGTGAGGAAGGTCTCCATGAGCTCGCTGTGGGTCATTTTCACGATGGTCCTCCCAGAGTAGGTCGCCAGCGTCGGATCAGCACCGTAAGATAGCAACAGGCGGACAATTTCCAAGTGGTCGTTTTCAACCGCGTCATGGATTGGTCTAAGGGGAAATAAAAAAGTTCGCGGCGTTACAATTTGACTCAGTGGTGTTATGCAAATGTGTTTGACAAGAAACTTCTGACTCCAGATCAAAGTTATTTATAGCAAATAACACTATTAATACAGCTGCCAATCATCTTATTGTTGGTTTTACTTGCACATCATCTCCTTCCCCTCTTGTCTTTTCATAGTCAGACTGCTCAGAGTCTGTTAGGTCTATTCATTGCTGTACGTATTTCGAGGGTCGGTAAAATAATTACACCACTGTAACAGAAAGCAGGAGTTTGCATGAAGCCTCACAAACATCATTTCACTGCAAGTCACTCTACTGTTCCAAATCTCTGCCAATTTAACAGCGTGTTGTGGAGCAAGGGCTCATTCAGTCTGCCTGTGGGCAAGCACGAAAATCAGTTACCCAAAGCTCCTAAATTATGTACACACAAGTAAGTTATGAAAATTTGCTGGGAATTAAACTTCCACACTATATCCTCTTTAAATAGTACTTGCGAATGTATTTGCAGCACAATTCAACCCTTCTACTCGGAGAATAGAAAAACATGTTATTTTAAGTTTAGTCCACCCAGAAGTTAACGCATTTTATGCAGCACGAGCAATCTATAAAAGCTCAGACATAGATTTTGTGAGCCTACAGAAGGATTATTCATTAATACACATGTCTGCAATTCCAGGTTTAGAATTCCTTATCGCTAATTATAAATTGCATTAACTTTTGCCTTTAAAATTGATTATACGTAACAGGGAGTTGCCTGGAAGTCGGACATATTACCCTTCAGACTAATGAAGATGTGTTAAAATCCCATCTTTTTCCTTAGCTGACGAGGAGCAGATGAACTGCCAGTGATCACAGCAGTTCAAGGCAACTCTACATACCTCCTCCTCCTCCTCCTTTTGGCTGTCAACACTGTTTGCCCCCCAACCAGGCTTTCAAGCTCTCAAATAGATGTATTAAAAGGCAAGAGAAGTAAGGAAGGACTTTAACTAAGATCCTGGAAAGGTTTCAGAATGACATTGCAAGGAGAAGTCACCTGGAAGCACAGATGAGCAAACCTCTCAACTCCATCCACCCAGCAACGCCTGGCTAACAACCACAGCTGGAACACCCCTCCGCGAGGAGGCCACATCCCACCGCTCCTTCTGCCGCAGACGGCAGCGTACCCTCTACATCACCACCACTTTGGCAGTGGCTGGCATCCATGTGAGCTCAGGAGAGGAGAGGCAGACCAAACTGGTCAGAAGCAGGCACATCACCGTTTTCCCATCCAGCAGGCTGTGACTTAGGTTGTACTAACATCTGTCATCACACGTGAAGCAATCTCCCTGGCCCCCATCTTGCTGGAAAGCTGTACGCGGTTTTGGTTTTGGCATATGCACGTTATATAGACATGAGGAGGTGCACTTGGAGAGTTTACGACTCGTTTCATATGGAGACGGGGCTTTACCCCTCACTGCCTGCCTCTTGTGCTTCCCAGGCCACCAAGACAGCAAACAAGCAGGTGGTCCTCAAGCTGCTGAGCGCAGTTCTCAATCCAGCTCGTGTCACCCCTCAGGCCCCGGCCACCAGAGAGACCAACACGTGCCTGCCCTCAAAGACCGACATGCCACTCTTTGGAAAGCTACGTTTGAATTTTAAGACCAGAGAAGTCCAGGAGGATCATGTAGAGAGGCTCAGGATACCCCTTCTCAATTTCTCAGGGACGTCTCTAATGTAACACTGAAACTATCGGATGCCCTAGAGAGCGATAGATGCTGCTGGAGAAACCAGCGTTCCTGGGGTCCCCCATAAGCCTCAGCCTCCAAATCTCTACCGACTGACTCAGTTCTTCTGCAAAGGGGCTGCCATGGCCTCACGTGCCTTCACAACACCCAGAGCATCCAGGATCCGGTGGTGTTAAACATCCCAGGCAGTACAACACAAGAGGTAACAAATAACAGGGGTGCTGACAAGGAGGCTGAAGAGGTATCGGGTGTTTCTGGCTGTCAGCAAGCATCTGAGGCCTGAGCTGTCAGGTCATGACCCTGGAGAGCATCCACAGCGGGAAAGGTCAGCCTTGCCACAAACCCTCCTATCCCCCACCGGGTATGAAGCATCCCTGGCTGAAAGTCTGGCAACAGGCACCGGGAACAGATGAGAGTTACGGCTGCTGCCAAATGCTGGGGATGCTTTTTTTCTCCCCCATTCCCGCGCTTTACTGGAGTCTTTAATTGTGAATGGGTTTGCATTTCGTTTTGGAACTAGGATTTTCTCGTTTGGGGTGGCAGGAGTGTGGAGAATGTTGTGGGTTTATTGGTTTGTGGGTTTTCTTGGGGATTTTTTTTGTGTTTTTTTTCAAGCTGACCTACCTAAGTGGCTTTTTGAAGTGGTAATGAATTCAAGATGATCCCTTAACTTATTAAGAAACAGCATCTAAATCACCGCCCAGCATTTCAATCGATTTAACAACACCCAGACGAGTTTATTAAAGGGTGCCTGGGCATTCCCTGGGAAGGAAAAATCACTGCATGTGGGCTGTAACCCCGGGATAGGACTCCCCTCTCCCTTTCTACAGGTCACCCAGCCCAGCGTGGTTGGGCAGGCAGGGACAGAGGCAGTGGGGCAGGTAGACCTGTCTTTGTCACCCACCAGAGCACAGGGAGGCCACTCTGGGCACAAGAGGGGACTTTAAAGAGGCAAGGGGAAGGAAAGGCTCAGTAAAGTTGTGCGGAAGGAGGAAGAACAATAAATAGAAGGAAGTGAAGGAAGGAAAGAAAACACTGGTAGGGAAGCAGGGGCGGGGGGAATGAGGAGATTCCCCATAGATAAGGCAGGGGAAAGAAGGCAATAACAGAGTGCTGACAGACTCTTTTACTGGCTAGCGCAGCTTCTTGGCAAGCTCGTGAGAGGGACCATGCAAAAGCACAGCTACTCGTGTTTGCTTCTCCCACCAGGGCCAGCAGAGAAGAGTATTTTTCAGTCTTGGCAGAGTTGAACCATCCTCTTTGTAGGATGCAAAAGTGACTACTGGAGTAGGCAACTTTTTCAGATGTGAAAAAAAGATCCCTAGGAGTCCTCTCCTGGGCTGCTTTGCCCATATAATCTTTTCCACCCTGAGCATTGTGGAAATAAACACTCTCTATCCCTAATGGTACAGTTAACGGAAGTACAGCTCGTTTCTAAAACAAACCCTTTGAAAGGCCCCAGAAGGATCCGGGGACATTCGAGAGCTGCAATATCCTACAGGGGACACACATCTCAACCCTCTCTTGTGTACTGTCGAATTCTCCCTACTATTTTTACCGCTACTAGAGTTAGGAAAACATTTCACTGGGGGTTTATCATTCCACCACCAAAATTATAAACTATTTAGACCAGGCAGGGTTTGCTCTCAGCCTTTCAGGCACTGTCAGAATTTCCCTTGCTGCAACGAGAGGGCTTGCAACTCGCTGAGCAATGCTATATCCTAGCATTTTATTTCGGCTTCCATCTACTCTCTTATGCAATGCTGCCCCATGGAAGAGGCAAGGCACAAGTTGCAGGGGAGCAGCTATGCCGGCTGCCTCTTCTTAAACGCTATTAGCTGCCGGAGGGTATGGCTCTGCCAAGACCAGCTGAAAGGACGCAGGAAGAGAGCCATCTTGGCATGGTCTTCCCAGGGAAAAAAAAAATTAAAATAAAAAAAAGAAAGAGGCTGAGCTCATCAGCTGCCAGCGAGAAGGATAAAGCAAAACTGGCTGTGGAGAGCGAATCTAGCGAGTGAACTCCAAAGCAAAGGAGAGGCCTGGCTCACAGGCGGGAGGAGATGCCTGTATTTTTGGCGTACAGTTTTTGTTTCTAAAGCGGCGCCGGTTCAGCTCGAGCACGCTGTTGGAGGGAAGAGAAGAGCCAGGCGATAAGGTCAAATACAGCAGCAGCCACCCGCGCTCCTGTCAGGCTCTGGTCGTCGAATGCCCCTTGTTGAGCTCCCGCACTTCCTGGGGTCCTGTCGGGGAAGGGAAGTGCTCACCTCTTAAGCACGGTCTATTATTATTTATAGATAAGACGATTAAGAGCCCTTAGTGACTGCGGCACCTCCGAGACAGGTCTTAAAGATCTCGCCTCGTCCTACAATAATCGTTGATTAGCCGCTAATTCAGCGGCGGAGGGCTTGTGTATTCCGCGTCTGCAGGCGCCGCATTTGGAGAGCAGCCATCAGCAGCGCAGAGCTTAAAAGGGGGGAAACCACAGCAGAACCGACGCGGAATGTAGCCCGGCCAGATGCGTTGCAAACAGGGTGGGCAGGGGGTCACCCTGCGCTGCAGGCAAGCAGCCGGTGTGTGCCAGCAGAGCCCCAGCGCTGAGCTGAGGACGGAGGGAAGAACCGCACCATACCTACGGACCTCCCCAAACATCCTCAGCTCCTCGCCCTGGAGCCACAGTTCTGATAGTATCAGGAGCCGGAGGCTGAAAGCCTCCCTTCTTATCGACAGAACTCAGGACAGACTGGCTGCCGTGGGTACACAAAAAGGCAACGCCAAAGCAAGAGGCTCAGGGTGTTTGCTTCACTTTGAAAACAAGAAAGATCTGGACGTGCTGGAGCGTGTCCAGAGAAGGGACACGAGAATGATCAGAGGGCTGGAGAACCTCTCCTGTGAAGACAGACTGAGAGAGTTTGGGCTGTTCAGTCTGCAGAAAAGAAGGCTCCGAGGAGACCTTATTGTGGCCTTCCAGTATCTCAAGGGGGCTACAAGGAAGCTGGTGAAGGGCTTTTTAGGATGTCAGGTAGGGATAGGACATGGGGGAATGAATCGAAGCTAGAGATGGATCGGTTCAGATTGGACATTAGGAAGAAGTTCTTCACCATGAGGATGGTGAGACACTGGCACAGGTTGCCCAGAGAGGTGCTGGAAGTGCCATCCCTGGAAGTTTTTAAGGATGGGGCTCTGGGCAGCCTGATCTAGTGGGGGATGTCCCTGCCCATGACGGGCAGGGGTTGGAACTAGATGATCTTTAAGGTCCCTTCCAACCCTGACAATGCTATGATTCCAACCTACCCATGCAAAACAACCACGTTGATGAGAGCACCTGCAGCGCTTCTGGCAAGACTGAAAGAAGAGACGCGTGTACTTGGCAGAAGTTTCCTACATCTTGCACGTCCATGTGGGCGTTTTCTTGAGGCTGAAGCCATATATTCTTGCGTGTCACAACTTCTCAGCGAGTGTTCAGCTGGGACCCAAGTGAGGCCCCGGGCTGCCACACTAACGAACACAGCAAAACGCCCTTACATCACAGCTCGTACAGTTACATCACTTCTCTACATGGATTTACATTATCTGCCTGAACAGAACTAAACGCATCCAGTGATACTGTCTAAAGACTTGAGAGCTTCCAGCACGACCAAAACTATCTTTGGCTAGCAGGCTTGTGAGGTGGCAGAGGGAGCAGTAAGGAATATTCAGTTTAGTTAAAAAAAGCAGGGGAGAGGGAGAAGTCTTTCATGGTGGGTTTGTCTGGGTTTTGTGGGTTTTTTTAAAGATTTTAATATCTTTCCAAGAGATGACCGTGTTCGGGAATTTAAATTTTAAAAGTAACATAGTTGAGGAAGACACTTCCTTCCTCCTAAACTTTGAAGAAGAAAAACTTACTGAAGCTTCAAGAGAGAAATGGGATTTGTCTTACAAATGTCATGATTTACCCTACAGAAAGAAACAGAGATGCCTGGTCCTACCAAAAGGCAGTAGACAACACCGATCAGAAGTTCCTTAGAGAGGCTTCTTCTGCTCTCTGTCCTGCCCAAGTCAGGGCAGCTAGACCATGTTTCATCTGTCTATTAGATGAGTTTTGGATTCACACTGCCTGTTGGGCAGCTTTTAAAACGAAAAGCAAGCTCAGTTCTGACATTACCGTCTATAATCAGATAATTATCTAGATCAGTTAATTTCTAAAATGCATTTTCCCCGTAACAATTTTTCAGGGTACAAAAGCCAAGTTTCTTTCTTGAAAATCAGCTCCATCTGTGAACTGAAATCAAAAGTCAGCTCTGAACTGGTGGGTGATTAAGACCGGTCAGAAAATTCCTGGGGTTAATTTTCTATGTAGGTTATTCCAGCAAGTGAGACAAAAATAATTTAAGATTCTTTTTATGACAACTTACTGCTGTTGCATAGGTCACATATTAAAGCTGGAGACAGCAGAAAATGCGGGGCTGTTTTTTCAGCCTAGAGAGCTGAGACTTCTTACAAAGAAGCAGGAGATGGAAAAGATATCTGACAATCTAGCCACAGTTTCAACACTTCTCCTGAAACGTTTCCTTTGGGCCATGATGGGCCAGTAACGACTGACCATCATGAACTTCTAATGGACCATCCTAACCGACCCTCATGGGACTTTTGTTTTCCTGACTCCTCCCTTCCCAAGCTAATAAATAAAGAGCTTAAAAACAAAAGAAACTGACTCTTAGTTATGCTAATTTTACCTCTCAGTCTATTTGGATGGTGATAGTGAGTGTGATAAACCATTTAAGATAACAAGCTGCAGGAGATTCCAGAATACAAAGCGGACCTATCCCAAAATGCATAGACTGGACCCCAGAATGCATACACAGGATAATGTTCTGCATATTACAAGGACAAACTACCTCAAGGTCAGCCCCGCAGAGGTGGTCGAAGAGGTACTTTTGCAGAACAGCATTTCTATCTCCAAAAAAAAAGAAAAAAAAAAAAAAAACAAAAAACAAAAGCTCACTATCTATTCTGCGAGCACAGAAACTAAGCACCCCTACGATTCTGTGAAGGAAACCGAAAACCTGCTAATTCAGGATTTTAGTAAGATAAATCCAAAGTATCAAACGAGCAGAGAGTTTAACATTTCAGCAAAACAACATTTTTCATACAAGCACACTCAACGCCAAATTGCCGCAAAAGCCTTAAAATGCTCTTAGATGCGACCCCGCTAACGAGGCAAAGCCCCACTCTTTTGGCACAACTCAAAAGACATAAGCAGGGCTGCGCCTCGAGCACCGCACCCTCCTGCCCTGCAGCTGGCAGTTTCACAAACTCTTCTTTTTTTAAAAAAAAAAAAAAGAAAGAAAAAAATAAAGCACAACTTATTAAAATTCCCAGAAGAAGGAAGAAAGAAAGTGGTGACCACCCCACGCTGGTCAGGGAGGGGTAGGTTTGCTGCTAACCTGGTTCCATCCTGAGCGCTGCAGTTGACGTCAGCCCCGTACTCGAGGAGATGCCGCACGATGCTCAGCCAGCCCCTGGCACAGGCCTCGTGCAGGGCACAGTAACCCGCGTTGTACGATGATTCACGTCACACACCTTGTTTTCCAAACAATACAGAACCACTTCCTGGAAATAGGAGGGGGAAGAAAAAAAATACAAGATACGTCGAGTTAGTTCTTGCTGCGGAGACGAGCAGATTTCTCTTCCTGAAGGACAAGAAGGGGGAGGGAGGGGAGCGACACCGCAAAATCCCTACGATGCGCCTAAGTTACCCTCTTTGCGATGAGTCAGTCAAAAGGAAAACAAAAAGAGGGAGCTGTTGAAAGTCGTGTTT